GGAGGGGGGGGGGGGTTTAGACCATTTTCTCTCATATCATCTCAAATAATTTAGTTGTTCATTGAATGCATTGTATTTGTACACAACCATAAAAATATAATCAAACAAGAAAACGCTCATAAATACAGTCAAGTAAAAAAATAAGGATGGAAACAGGGGCACAAAATCACAAAATAATTACGGTCAAACAATAATGCAGTAACAAAAATACATCCCATACCCGAAAAATTAATAACCCAATCAGGTTTCCAAATTTTAATAATTAGAATTATAAATAATTGAATATAATATGTTTTTTACAAATTCAAATATTCAAAGGATAAAATTATTCTAAAAAAGGACTTATACGGTTCTACCACAATAAATAATTTTGATCTGGCGGCTCAACATATATTACTAGAATAATTTAAATATTAAAATTATAAATTTATAAAATCAAATTATTTTTGTGTTAAGTGTAAAATAAGGAAACCTGAGTTCGTATGGGAATGGGATTACAGTTTTAGGAAACTTTTTTTCTATCTTTTTTTCCTTTCAGATTCCGAGTTGGTTTCGGAAGTTAAAAAAAATGTCTATATATAAAACGCAATTCCTAACTCTGTTTCTGTGCAACCAAATTCTTAACTTTGTTTCTCTTCTTTGATTTCTTTTTAGTAGCAAAAGCAAAAATATTTCAGTTATGGCAGTGTATATCAAGTATAAAAGTTGTAAGGATTATGATTCAATACCAATTCTTGATCATTTTATTTCTGTTGGGAATTTGAAATCAAAAATATTTGAATCCAAGCGTTATGGTTGGGGTAAAGATTTCGACCTTCTTCTCACCAACGCACAAACTAACGAAGATTATGTTGATCATGCCACTTTGATTCCTAGAAATACAAGTGTTTTGATTCATCGCCTTCCTGGATTACCTTGCTGCCCCATACTAATTAAAGAGGAACCCAAGCAAGTGTTGTGTAAACAGGAGGAGGTTCATTCAGTTAAAAAAGAGTCCAAATATTCTCAAGATGATGATTTTGGCGATGATGTGTATGCAATTCCAAAAGTAGTAGTGCCAAGTCAATTAGGCAATCCAGTGCCCACTAGTACTAGTAGTATAATCAAGAATTCAATAGGAAACATATCACTTGAGTATAATAACACAAGATCGCCTTGCTTTAGTGTTGGACAAGGTGGAATGGAACGGAAAAACCCACCACCGGGGTATGTCTGTCATCGATGCAAGGTGCCTGGGCATTTCATTCAGCATTGCCCTACAAATGGTGACCCCAATTATGACATCAAGAAACTAAGTGCAAGTGTTGCTGTTTTGATGGCAGCTTTTACTAAGGAAGTTGAAGGATTGTCATGTTCTTCATCGTCTTCTAAGCGTTCCTATAGAGATATACCAGCAGAGCTTCACTGCCCATTGTGTAAAGGATTAATGAAAGATGCAGTTATAGCGAGCAAATGTTGTTTTAGTAGTTTCTGCGACAGATGCATAAGGAATCATATTATGTCCAACTCTGTTTGCGTATGTGGGGCTAGAAATATACTTGTTGATGCTCTCTTGCCTAATTTGACTCTAAGAGCCACAGTAAACAGAATCTTACAGTCTAATAGCACTACTTCTTCAGAGTCTTGTAGGACACGGGTAGAAGAGTTTCCACCAGCTGTTGAAGAAGTAAATATGAAGAAACCAAGTGATGATGTTAACATGCAATGGGGTGTTGAAACTAGAAAATTAGGTTTTAAAAGGAATAAGTGTGAGATGAGCAGTGAGTTTTCAAGTGTAATTACTTATTGAGGGGTCAAAATATATACCACATTTTGTAATATTATCGAATTCAATACATTGTTTATTTTTCTCTAATATTTTTCCTTTCAAGTTAGATTAGTAATTTTATCTGTTTGATCACACATAATTTGATATCTCCTCTATATTAGTGACATTAGAACGCAGCATGCGATGCACTATTTAAATAAGATAATCTCAATGTTATTAATTCGCAGGAAGCAAACTACATTAATTCGAAAATGTCTGGTACTACACAAGTGCCTGAACATTGAAGTCTTATTTCAAATACAATTTCACAGGATACTTTGCAAATGAACTAAAACAATGGGTTAGAGTTTGCACATTGATATAATGTTGAATCTGTGTTCTTTGAATTAGTCTTTGTGAGTCAAAAAGCACCAATCTTTGTGGTGGTAAGCTTCATATAACCTCTATTTAACGAACTGGACAAAATGAATCTCCTACTATTGTATACAAAATTGTGAGATCTAAGAAGGAAAATTGATCTCAAATATATACTTAAATCCTAAATTGAGAAGTGATGTCAATGAAGATGTCCTCTCGGCAGGGAATTGTGATACCACCCATTGGATGATTGAAGCCAAATTCTTCCTCTGCTTGACTTAGCAAGTCTTGAAATGAAGGCTGACTCAAGTATGATATCGGTATCACAAATCTCTTCTTCTGCTTCTCCCCGACATAAACAACAAAATGGCCCTTGGGAACATCCAAAGATGTTGAAAACTTCTTGATTATACGAGGAACACGGATAGCCATGATCTTTTAATTAAGATGAGCAAATGATGAAGAGAAGAATTACTAAAAATTCTGAAAGGAAGGAAAATCTTTGAGTAGTTCTCTAGTTTTTTGGGAGAGGTGTAGTGGTTGTGGCTACTTCTCAAAACATGTTTATATAAGAGAAGGGCAAGTCAAAAAATCTCCTCGATTTGTGGTGAAGAGCCATTTGGGTTGGGCATCAGTGAAGGACAATGACATATCAATTACCACATGGTCCTGTCTTCCAGCTTATTGACATGATTAATTGTTTTAGCTCATATAAGTTCAAGAACAAAAGGTCCTACTTTTTTCTCATACATTGAACAAAGGATCTATCGGAATCAAATCCATAAATATGGAACAGTGCCATATGATGATTTCAAGGACTAAAATATATGCAAACTGTGTGTCCATATTTTTAAGAAGAATAACAGAAGACATGCCAACCTTATAGGATTTCACTGGTGAAGAGGTATTTGTAGCACTATGGATTGACAATAGCACAAGAAGTATCACATGGCTTTGTTGTCCAACTCATCCTCGAGCACTTATGGTTTTAGGCCATTGTGCCTGAAGATCAACAGGCACCACTATTTTTCATGACAAGATAGAGAACACAGGATCTTTAGAAATCAAATTGAAAACAATTGGTGATTGTCTTGTAATGACTCGGGTCTGGACCACTTGATCAGAGATGTCTTGCTATTTATAACAATGGTAGTTCCAACTGGTAAATCTTATTCATAAATGAATTATTTGAGAGTTGGACTTCTACAACAGTACGATTGAAGATAAATTTGCTGAATTATCCGACAACTTATTTGTTTGGTCCCTCATACTTAAGCCATTGTGGATCAACTTTCCAGATTAGGATAATCCATGTTTTTTCAACATATTCTGAGAAATGTTTCCAAATGGTAGAGAATAGTAATGTACTAATGTTTACTGACTATCATTTTACTAAAGATGGCAGTGACCATAATATCATCAATTATGGGTTATGCCACTTTAGAAGATCAGATCTCATTCAGATTAGCAAACCATGAGAGTTGACAAAAATTTCTATTGCAATGAATTCATTACATCAATATATGGACTAGAATGGAACCATACAAGTGAAAAGGTTCAGTACTTCAATTCTTTTTGAAGTAGAAAAATTTCTTTAGTCAAATGACAGAGGAATGACATCCATTCGCTATGTTCTACCTAGTGTATTTTCTAACTCTGAACTGTACAGGGTGGAGATAATCCTGCTTTACAACTATACAAAATTGAGCAAAAATGGGGACTGGTTTCCTTCTTACTTCCTCAAGCATGATGTGAGATCAATGAAAAAATCCTCACTGCAGGGAATTGTCACACCACCCATTGGATGGTTGAAGCCAAATTCTTCCTCAACTTGACTAAGCAAGTTTTGAAATAACGGTTCACTCAGGAATGATATAGGGACTACAAATCTCTTTTTCTGCGTCTCCCCGACATACACAACAAAGTGACCCTTGGGAACATCTCTAGTTGTGGAAGACTTCTTGATCATACGAAGAATAGCCATAATCTTTTAGTTATAGATGAGAAAAGAAAGAATTACTAAAGAACTCAAAAGCAGAGAAAACTTTGAATACTTTCAAGTTTGCTGAGAGCTGTGGTGGTAGATACCTCTTTGGATATGTTTATATAGGCAATGTCAACTCATACAATATGTGTTGAATAGGTATCTGTGGGCACCAGCAGAAGACAATGTAACTGAAGTATCACATGCTTTTGCCCTCCAAGTATTAAATTTTTTGTCATACTGTTCAAGTACAATAGGCCCTACCTTACTTGAAACTTAGAACAAAGCATTACTAATTGTAGAATTTTTAATAAGAGATGACCTGGAGCTTAGTTATGCCTGGACCACTCGGATAAAAGGTAACTCTGGACATGTATTGCTGTTTGATTTATAGTAAGCACCATACTGGGAGACATGAAAATTTATCAATTACTATCCCAAAACAGCAGTAACGTTAGAGAGGCCAATTGCTTCCTAGCATTGTTCAGACTTGAAACATAGTTTAACATTAGGCCTTAGTTCAAGGACAACAGGATCTACCTTCTTTCTGAGCTTGGGACAAGGTATCCCTCACAATCAATTGCCAAACAAGAGTTGTGCCATGTTATTATTTATGTCTAGATACACATCCCTGAAAATTCGTAGATGGTAACACGGTTTTGTTGTAAATATTTTTTTTAAAATGTCCATAATTTCCAATTCCAAGTGCTTCTTACCTGAGGTCTATAACTTGATCCGAAATATATGGGAGAATTTATCATTAATCATTATCGTCCTAAATGGTTGAAAAAAGATTATATGTGGAAATTTGGGAAATGGTACTAAGATTGTAAATTGTACTTCTGTTCCATCCCATCATCACACAGTCATTTACCATTCGGCTTATTAATTGTTTGTGTGTATATATAGAAGAAGGTCGCTCAAAGGCTAAAGCCAGAGCGTGATGGCAATAATTGATCGGCAACCTAATCAGTTTTGTGATTGAGAAGCATTTCATTCCAGATCATATAGGTGAAGAAAGAGAATGGTACCTGATCATGGTACCCGGAAACATCCTATAACAGATGGTAAAGTGATTTGATTGATGTCTATGAAGACACTAGTACGTGAAGGATCATATGACTTTTCCTTCGCTGTCCTTTTGTGCAGTACTTATAATTTGAGAACTTGCTAACAAATTTCCATACACCGGCATAATAAAATAGGTCGATTGAACAACTATAGTGCTCGGGACTGGGTTTGGAACTGCAATCGCAAGACACTGGATCAAAGTAATCTATTTACTTGGTCAGCGTGACTACAAACTGACATGGGCCACATGGCACTCAGAATGCCACACCAACTGGTTTGACTCCTTCTATCCCTATGCCCTTTTCTTGAGCCGAGAGTCTTTAGGAAACAGTCTCTCTATCTCCATGAGATAGGGTAAAGTCTACGTACACTCTACCCTCCCCAGACTCTACTTGTGGGAATACTGGGTATGTTATTGTTGTTATTTATCTGTGATTCCGTATGCCCTTAAACAAACAAATCACTGCTGTAAATTTAGTGTATACAGGCCTAACCTTGTCATACATTTCAAATAACAAGTTGTACAAAGAAAAATCAGGTTTCATGTCATGAACTTTTCTAATAACATATCCATGAAACTGCCTACCCAATTCAAAGAGACCAATAAAGAGTTTAAAGCATCTGAAAGAGAAAAAATTTACCCATGTACAAGGCCTCCATCCACATCTTAGCTTCAGAGCAGCCTGACAGGAAATGCTCTTCACAGGAATTTCATCGAACACCATAACTGCATTATGTAAAGGGCGTGAATCACTTGACCAATGACTTAACATACAGCTCAAACAGAGCAAGAAACACATACACACACTTAAAAGCTATCCTGATTTCAGTGTAAACACCATTGAATACATGAACGAGACGATATTGAGAGCAAGAGAGTGGAGTAAGGTGTTGGATACTTGGATTGAAATATTTATCAAGATGCACTGGTTTTATATCTTTCTTTCGGTTTCATCAAGAGTACTCTTTCATCAATAACAGAGTTTTTGTTCCTCATATCATAAATCCTCTAATCTGATGATTAAATCAACTTAGCAGACCAGAATTATCCCAAGTTATTCAGCTGATAGAGAGAACTTCTGATATATCAAGCCAGAGATTTGCTTCTAAATGAAGCAAAGAACGAAAATGTCCAATGGAATGCCATATACTAATATGATTTCTTGGATAATTTGAGATTTGCACTTCAGAAGCTCCATTTCCCATGTTATGGAGAAAATGGAGTTATTTAAGGAACTTTGTTCAACAAGATTACTATCAAACCAAATTGGATAAAGAATGTCTGTGAAAAGATTTCATTTGATAAACTACTGATTATTACAATTCGATTGGGATCTACTGTTGTATCTGACAGTAATCCCCTCTATCTAATTTTCTAAGATGTGGTATGTATGATGTGTCTTTCCTAACTACAAACTGGAAATCCAGGTTAGTTCTTTACAAAATTGTGAAAGGAAAAGCCTCAGATCCTATTCAAGCGAGAAGTAAGATCAATGAACACATCCTCACTACAGGGAATTGTGACACCGCCCATTGGATGATTGAAGCCAAATTCTTCCTCAGCTTGACTAAGCAAGTCTTGAAATAAAGGTTGGCTCAAGAATGAAATGGGGATTACAAATCTCTTCTTTTGCTTCTCCCCAACATAAACAGCAAAATAGCCTTTCGGAACGTCTCCACTTGTAGAAGACTTCTGATAGCCATGGTCGTTTAGTTCAATATAGATGAGAAAATAAGGAAGGAAAGAACTTGTAAGGACTTTGAAAGCAGAGGAAAGCTTTGTATGATTTCAAGTTTTGGTGAGAGATGTTATGATAAACCCTTCTTTGTATGTGTTTATATAGGCCAATGACAAGTTGTAGAATCCTACTGATATGCATTGGATAGGCATTATGTGGGCACTAGCTAAAGAATACTTGTATGGTTGAGTTTTGGTGCAGCACTGTTTAGAGACAATAGCACATGATTATGCCTTCCAACTAATCATCAGACTATTTAGACTTTGAAACTATGCCTAAAAGCAGAAGGTCCCACTGATATTCACAACAAACAACATATGGAAACCTCATCTTCTTAAAAATGGTAGATTTAGGGACCACCTGGAGACATTTCTTGGTGTTGAATCAACAAGTTGTAGTCAGCATTCCAATGATCAATGATAATACTTAAGTCATGGCCCAGGATACAAGTTGGTGCAGTTGAAGACTTATACAGTAACTATAACATGGTCAAATTAAGATCATTATTATATGAATAATAGAGATTTGGATAAGTAGGAATATTTCTAGAAATTCATTTATCGATATGAAGGTCATAAGTCGTTCAATGTTTCTGGTCAAAGAAGAGCAAAACCAACCACTGTCTACTTGTGTTGTTCCACTGCTAAGCATGTGTGGACTCTCACCACTATTTTGTAGGAAACAACCAAGAGAACATAGCCAGAAGAATATAGAAGATTATCTCTAATCCATAAGAATAACATGCTGTGGCACTGTGCTGACTTAAATTTTTCAAGAAAATCAATTGACTCAGTGCTACTTAAATTGTTTAGTTTATATAAGGAGGATAATGAGTTGACTTTAGATAGCACCTTTTTATAATGGCAATCTACATTCATTCCAATTTGGCCAGCATTATGGTCCTGTGTCGCCTAGTTTACTAAGACGGGATATTTTCGTTTGTATGCTGGAATCGTAGATAGATCATCTAGCCTTAAAGTTATGAGTCCAAATGAATTCAACAACAACATACCCAGTGAAATCCATAAAGTGGGGTCTAGCGAGGTAGAATGTATGCAGACCTTACCACTACCTCGTGGAGGTAGAGAGGGGTTGTTTCGAAAAGACCCTCAACTCAAGTGCATCGAACCCAAGTAAAAGAAGAAGAAAACAATGGAAGAAAGCATAGCAGTTAATAAGAAAAGCAAGGTAAAGTCTACGAGAGAAAAACAACAACATCAAAATAGTGTGATAATCGAAATACACTAAAAAAACATATGGCAAGAACTACTTTCTTGAAATCACCAGAATTCTAGTTTCTTGATTACATGAATCTGCCTTGTATGTATAACTATATATGGTATAATGGATATATATGGCCTTTCTTGAAATTATATGATGATTAAATTTTGTGATTGGAGTGAAAGGGCGGTTTCTTGATTTAATTTGATCGTCGGAAAAGCCCCGCAAGAAAGGATAGAACCAAGTTTCTGGATCGTCGGAGCCGGAGACTGAGTAGACCGGCTGGAATTAAGCAACAGCCAGTTGGAACTTCATCCTATAAATCTAGGTATGCATTCCTAATACCATTCTAATGATTTTCATTTATTTTTAGCCGAAGGAATAAGTAGTAGAAATCAAGGGACAAAGTGGCATTTTTAGCCCTAATCCCCAATTATTAAATTCTTTCAATTTACTTAGCAAATGATATCAACATAATATTTTATTTTATTGTAATGAGTTCTCTAGTTTATCGGTAACGTTTCCATGGATTCAATTTGACATTGCTGGATTACCAAATGCTAATTGAATGTGTCTATTAATTAAAAGATTAGGAGAAAATTACCAAAACTTCAATATCTTTTTGATCAATTGCCAAAGGTCATTCATCTCTTTGACATGAATAACAATCCGGCGTAGTAAATATAAGTACTAATCTATCTAGTCAGAGGCAATAACCTTCGTTCTAACATCAACTACTGTTTTCTTCCAACTCCTAAACTTTACAGACTCTTCAAATCCTGCTTTACTTTTCTATAAAATTGTGAAAGCAAGTTTCCATATCAGTTTCTCAAACGAGAAGTAAGGTTAATGAAGACATCCTCTTTGCAAGGTATTGTGAGACCACCCATTGGATGATCGAAACCAAATTCTTCCTCAGCTTGGCTAAGCAAGTCTTGAAATAAAGGTTGGTTCAAGAATGATATAGGGATCACAAATCTCTTCTTCTGTTCCTCCCCAACATACACAGCACAGTGGCCTTTCGGAACATCTTTAGTTGTCAAAGACTTCTTGATTATACGAGGCATACGGATAGCCATGGTTGTTTTAGTTCAATATAGATAAGCAGATAATGAAAGTAAGGACTTTGAAAGCAGAGTAAAGCTTTGAATGGTTTCAGGTTTTGCTGAGAGCTGTGGTGGTAGATGGTTCTTTTTTATGTGTTTATATAGGCCAATGGCAAGTAGATAAGTCTTAGTGATATGCATTTTATGTAGGCACCACTTAAAGATTCTTGTGTAGTTGAGTTTCGGTGAGGCACTGTTTAGAGACAATTGCACATGAGATAACCCATGAATATGCCTTCCAACTAATTATCAAACTATTTTAGACTTTGAAACAATGTCTAAAAGCAGAAGGCCCTACTGATTTTCACAAAAGAAGAACAGATTCATGATATATCATTTTCTTGATGTTGAATCAACAAAGTATAGTCGGCATTCCACTGATTGATCATAAAACACGATCTATGTGATCTCCTGAATATTTTAGACAAAAGGTGATCATCCATAGTGCTGAAGGGACGGCTCAGGATGCATGTTGATTCTTGTCATATAGTGCTGCTGTTGAGTACTTATCACATGGTCAATTTAGGATGATTATTATGGAGAACTCAATAAAGCTACAATATTTCTCAAGTTGCATTAGTCAATAAGAAGGTTAGACAAGCAAGAGAAGAATGTAGAAACTTATCTCTAATCTGTTAATCATTTATGATAATTCACTGGTACAAATCCACAAGAATAATACTCTGACTTAAATTTGTTAAAAGGTTATATTAATCGAATAATGAGTTGACTTTGAACAGCATTGCTTTAATTGGAGTCTAAATTCCTATACCAAACTAAACATTCTATGTATTTATGGACAGTCAGCATTAAGGCCAGTATGATCTAGAAACCAAAGACCGAATATTCTTGATTTTCCCATAAATGTTGCAATTGGTAAGTCACACCTAGCAAGTTGGAAAAAGTTAAAAATCTTATGATGATGCTCCTGGTCAGTTCCTAAGCTGTGCATTGCAAGGACCTAACTCAGATCTCAGGTCTTCCCTTTATTCACTTAGATGTGTTTTATAGTGTCCCTCAATCAATTGTGCAGCTATTAGGGGTAGTGACACTTTTCTTGTTGAATTTTACAAGTACAAGAGTACTGAATTTCAATTTCCTAAGTTAAAAAAGTTTAAATTTGTCTCAAGGAGTTGTAAAATGCCTGTTGTCGGAGAGCACAACAAACTGTTTTCACTGATTACTTAGTTAGTGTTGCCTTACATATGGAAATGCAGCACAATTCTCTGTGTTAACCAATTGCTCAGAGTAACAAGAGGTTGCAAAATTGCTGAAATAGTACTAATTTTGTAAGAGTAAGATTGGTTCACAAATGGGGTAATCAAATACAAAACTGCTCCTCATCTTGACTTAACAAGTCTTGAAACAAATGCTCAAAGCAAAGGTCTTTCGCCTTTGTATGTCCCATTTTAATAGGAAGACGTGGGACAAAGAACTGTAGATTTCATCCTATTATGTAGTTCTTCTATAGCACTTAGTTTGGAAATGATCACTTGATTCTGGCTCCAGAATGTTAGAAAACCATGAAAACTTGAAAAAACACCAATGCTTAATGAATGGAATCATCAATTGAAGAAGGTTCAATAATTCATTATCTTCCCATAATATAACAATCAGGCTTTGTATATATAATTTCACTAATCTACCTACTCAGAGGCAATATCCTCATTCTAACATCAATTACTGTTTTCTCCTACTCCTAAATTTTACATTGTCCGAATCTTGCTTTAGTATAAAATTGTGAAAGCAAGTTTCCATTTCAGTTCCTCAAACGAGAAGTAACGTTAATGAAGACATCCTCTCTGCAAGGTATTGTAAGACCACCCATTGGATGATCGAAACCAAATTCTTCCTCAGCTTGACTAAGCAAGTTTTGAAATAAAGGATGGCTCAAGAATGATATAGGAATTACAAATCTCTTCTTCTGCTCCTCCCCAACATACACAGCACAGTGGCCTTTCGGAACATCTTTAGCTGCAGAAGACTTCTTGATTATACGAGGCATACGGATAGCCATGGTTGTTTAGTTCAATGTGGATAAGCAAATAATGAAGGAAAGAACTTGTAAGGACTTTGAAAGCAGAGTAAAGCTTTGAATGTTTCAAGTCTTGCTGAGAGTTGTAGTGGTTGAGGCTTCTCTTTATGTGTTTATATAGGCCAATGGAAAGTTGTGGAATCCTAGTGAAGTGCATTGAATTGGTATTTTCAGTAGGCACCAGTTAAAGATTACTTGTGTAGTTGAATTTTGGCTTGAACTATTTTGAGACAATAGCACATGAATATGCCTTCTAACTAATTATCAAACTATTTAGACTTTGAAACTATGTCTAAAAACATAAGGCCCCATTGCTTTTCTAAATAAAGAACAGATTCATGAAATCTCATTTTCTTGAAATAGTTTAGTTAGGGACCGGACCACCTGAAGTCATTTCTTGATGTTGAATCAAAAAAGTGTAGTCAGCATCCCATCGATCGATTGATCATAAAATGTGAATCTATATGGGCATCTCCTGAAGATTTTAGACAAAATCTGATCATTCATCGTGCTAAAGGGATGACTCAGGATAAATGTTGGTTCAAGTAGTGCTGCATTTGAGTACACATAAATTGGTCAAACTGCGATGATTATTATTGGAAATAACAGAGAAATCGATAAATCTAGAATATTCCTCCTGTTTCATTAGTCAATAAGAAGGTTATAGACAAGCAATAGAAGAGTGTAGAAACTTATCTCTAATCTGGTGATCATTTTGATAATTCACTGGTACAAATCCAGAAGAATAATATGCTGACTTAAATTTTTCAAGAGAGATAATATATATCGAATAATGAGTTGCTTTTGAACCGCACTTCTTTAATTGGAAACTAAATTACTATACCAAACTTAACATTCTATGTATCTATGGACAGTCAGCATTATGGCCTAGAAACCAAAGACCAAATACTTGCACCAAATTGATTCAGTTTCATCACTATGTTGATTTTTCCATAAATGAAGTCGTGCCTTGTAAGGACCTAGTCATATGCTAAACTCAGATCTCAGGTCATATTTAGCATTTCACTTGGACGCGTTTTATAATGTCCCTCAATCAATTATGCAGCTACAATTAACTAGAGAAAGCTAGCGAAGAAAAAGTAGGGGTAGTGAAACTTTTCTTGTTGAATTTTACAAGCACAGAGTATTGAATTTCAATTTTCCAAGTTAAAAGAGTTTATATTTGTCTCAAGGAGTTCTAAAATGCCTGCTGTCGGAGTAAGCAACAAACTGTTTTCACTGATTACTTAGTTAGTGTTGCCTTATATGGAAATGCAGCAGAATTCTCTCAGTTGATCAATTGCTCGGAAGTAACAAGAAGTTGCAAAATTGCTGAAATAGTACTAATTTTGTAAGAGTGAGATTGGTTCACAAATGGGGTATTCAAAACAAAAACTGTTCCTCATCTTGACTTAACAAGTCTGAAACAAATGGTCAAAGCAAAGCTCTTTGGCTTTTGTATTTCCCATTTTGATAGTTAGCCAAGGGACAAGAACTGTAGATTTTATCACATTATGTAGTTCTTCTATTGCACTTAGTTTGGAAATGATTACTTGATTCAGCTCAAGATTGTTAGAAAACTTGAAAAAACACCAATGCTAAATGAATGAAACCATCAATTGAAGAAGGTTCAATACTTCATTATCTTCCCATAATTTAACAATGAGGCTTTGTAAATATAAGTTCACTAATCTACCTAGTCAGAGGCAACATCCTCATTCTAATATTAATTACTGTTTTCTCTAAATACTCCTAAACTTTACAGTGTCCGAATCTTGCTTTAGTATAAAATTGTGAAAGCAAGTTTCCATTTCAGTTCCTCAAACGAGAAGTAACGTTAATGAAGACATCCTCTCTGCAAGGTATTGTAAGACCACCCATTGGATGATCGAAACCAAATTCTTCCTCAGCTTGACTAAGCAAGTTTTGAAATAAAGGGTGGCTCAAGAATGATATAGGAATTACAAATCTCTTCTTCTGCTCCTCCCCAACATACACAGCACAGTGGCCTTTTGGAACATCTTTAGCTGTAGAAGACTTCTTGAGTATACGAGGCATACGGATAGCCATGGTTGTTTAGTTCAATGTAGATAAGCAAATAATGAAGCTTTGGATAGTTTTAAGTTTTGATGAGTGTTGTGGCTTTTCTTTTTTTGTTTATATAGGCCTATGACAAGTTGTGGAATCCTAGTGAAGTGCATTGAATTGGCATTTTCAATAGGCACCAGTTAAAGATTACTTGTGTAGTTGAATTTTGGCGCGCACTATTTAGAGACAATAGCACATGAATATAACACATGAATATGCCTTCCAACTAATTATCAAACTATTTAGACTTTGAAACTATGTCTAAAAGCATAAGGCCCCATTGCTTTTCTAAATAAAGAACAGATTCATGAAATTTCATTTTCTTGAAATAGTTTAGTTAGGGACCACCTGAAGCCATATCAATTAAGTGTAGTCAGCATCCCATCGATCAATTGATCATAAAACGCGAATCTATATGGGCATCTCCTGAAGATTTTAGACAAAATCTGATCATTCATAGTGCTAAAAGGGACGGCTCAGAAGGCATGTTGGTTGGTTCAAGTAGTGCTGCAGTTGAGTAGTGAGTACACATAAAATGGTCAAACTGCGATGATTATTGTTGGAAATAACAGAGAAATCGATAAATCTAGAAAATTCCTCCAGTTGCATTAGTCAACAAGAAGTTCATAGACAAGCCAGAGAAGAATGTAGAAACTTATCTATAATCTGGTGATCATTTATGATAATTCGCTGGTACAAATTTATCTCTTAATAGTGATTTTAACTATTAAGAGAAACTTCTAATGATCTCGAGGTAACTCAAAAAATACAGATATTTGTGTACAATATGGATATCATTTGAAAATGAGCAGTTTAGATAGAATTGTACTTTTGATCTATCTGAGTACTT